TGGTTGGTTTCCACCACACATAGGACAGGATATGGCAGAGTACCGCGTCTGTGGGCCCACGCCTGCTAATATCCCAAAATAATTAGTACTCACCGGTCACTGGATTCTGTTTATAAGATCGCTTGAGAAGATTTTATGTAATCTAGTATTCATATGCTATCCTAATAAATTTTTAACTTTACTATTAGAATTTTATTTTATTGAATGGTATACGGAATAAAGCTAAAAAATTATTAAATTTTAAAACAGAATTAATAAAATTTAAAATTTTCTTAATTTTATTTTGGTATTATAAATAAAAATATAGGAATATATCAAATGACAAATATTCAGATGTTCTGAATTATTTCAATTGTTTTATTATATTTAAATTTCAAATATTTCAAATACTAACAAAAGTTTGGCAGCTAATAAGTATTGGGTTCCAGCCTCCATTTACGTACCATTTCTCTGTCGCCTCACGCGGCAAAATCTGTGTTTCTGGAAGGAAAACAATACTACCTCACATGGTTTTATAATTAGAATTGAACGTAGTATTATTTTTTATTTTTAATTACATTGTCTTTGCGTGCCCAAAATAATAAAATCATATATCTTGGATAACAAAATGTGAGCTTCCACATTTTTTATAAAAGAAAAACAAATATATATTGACAGTATAAAAAAAAGTTACAAAATAAAAGTTGCGGTAATCCGTAAGAGAGTACAGAGGGTGTTTGACATTCTCAAAACCGCGGTTTCAGAAGCATTTTTCCGCAAAACGAGATAACTTTCTCCACATATTTACTTTGTAACCCGTAAAAGTACTTTTGAAACCATGGTTTGGTTTCTATCCAAACACCCCATAATAGATCATAAGAAACTAATAAGGTCTAAAAAAAGAAGTAAATTAAAGAGAAAATCGAAAAAAAAAAAATTCATATTCGAGCGTTCCTTTTCCTGCTTTTCTCGTAAAAAATGCGTTGAGAAGTTTCTCTTTGTGAGTTGTGACAAACAATTCAGATATGCTCAAATTCAAAAGGGGTGACGGTGATTTAAGATTTAATTTTTTTAAATAAATATTATAGAATTTGACCAGTGAATCCCCTTGGTTGAGGTTTCAAGAACATCTGACATTATTAGCATTACAAAAATAGATTTTTATGGTTTTTAAGGTAAAGCTACGTACCTTCACGGTATTTGATTTTGATAGAAAACCGCCATGTTCCCCATATTCATAAAAACAGGTCAATTTCAAAATTTCAAATATAATCATTGAATATGTCCATAAAAACAATAATTGATTCATGTTCTTACTTCTTATATTAATTATAATCAATTATTTTCACTAAAAACGTTGTAATAATTATTTCAAAACTTTCATTGTTGTCTAGCCGCTTTGAGGTATGATTTATAATAAAATCATTTCGAAATTCGTCCTAAATAAACTAATTTTGATCCCTTTTATTATCATCACCAATATATATTTAAAAAAAACTATAATTACTGCATTATTATTCATTAATCATAAATAAACTCGTGCATTTTTTTTCCTTACCACTACTGTACTTCATGCATAATAAAAAAAATAAATAACATGTATTATTTATAATGTTTTGTAATTTTTTTAACAAAAATCTTATTTATGTATTATCATAAACAATATATATACTACCTCCAATCCTAAATATATATAATACCTAATTAACTAATTTGAGTAGATTAAAAAAATAAGTTAAATTAATTATTTGTAATAAATTAGTATTTTTTTAAAATATCTCCGCTAATTAAGTTTATTGATTCGAACTATCATCATTACAATGACTATCTTTAAAAAAATAAATAAATATCAGAGATGATATGAATTGAGATCTTATATTTAGAATTAAAATAAAAATTAAAAATATAGGAATATATCAAATGACAAATATTCAGATGTTCTGAATTATTTCAATTGTTTTATTATATTTAAATTTCGAATATTTCAAATACAAACAAAAGTTTGGCAGCTAATAAGTATTGGGTTCCAGCCTCCATTTACGTACCATTTCTCTGTCACCTCACGCGGCAAAATCTGTGTTTCTGGAAGGAAAACAATACTACCTCACATGGTTTTATAATTAAAATTGGATGTAGTATTATTTTTTATTTTTAATTAGATTGTCTTTGCGTGCCCAAAATAATGAAATCATATATCTTGGATAACAAAATGTGAGCTTCCACATTTTTTATAAAAAGAAAAACCAATATATATTGACAGCATAAAAAAAAAGTTACAAAATAAAAGTTGCGGTAATCTATGGGACGAGAGTATAATAGATCATAAGAAACTAATAAGGTCTAAAAAAAGAAGTAAATTAAAGAGAAAATCCAAAAAAAAATTCATATTTTCTAGCGTTCCTTTTCCTGCTTTTCTCATAAAAAAGTTGTTGAGAAGTTTCTCTTTGTGAGTTGTGACAGACAATTCAGATATGCTCAAGTTCAAAAGGAGTGACGGTGATTTAAGATTTAATTTTTTTAAAAAAATATTATAGAATTTGACCAGTGAATCCCCTTGGTTTAGGATTCAAGAACATCTGACATTATTAGCATTACAAAAATAGATTTTTATGGTTTTTAAGGTAAAGCTACGTACTTTCACGGTATTTGATTTTGATCGAAAACCGCCATGTTCCCCCATTTTCATAAAAACATGTCAATTTCAAAATTTCAAATATAATCATTGACTATGTCCATAAAAACAATAATTGATTCATGTTCTTACTTCTTATATTAATTATAATCAATTATTTTCACTAAAAACGTTGTAATAATTATTTCAAAACTTTCATTCTTGTCTAGCCGCTTTGAGGTATAATTTATAATAAAATCATTTCGAAATTCGTCCTAAATAAACTAATTTTGATCCCTTTTATTATCATCACCAATATATGTTAAAAAAAAACTATAATTACTTCATTATTATTCATTAATCATAAATAAACTCGTGCATTTTTTTTCTTACCACTACTGTACTTCATGCATAGTAAAAAAAATGAATAACATGTATTATTTATAATTTTTTGTAATTTTTTTAACAAAATCTTATTTATGTATTATTATAAACAATATATATACTACCTCCAATCCTAAATATAAAGCTTAATTAACTAATCTGAGTAGATTCAGAAAATAAGTTAAGTTAATTATTTGTAATAAATTAGTATTTTTTTAAAATATCCCTGCTGATTAAGTTTATTGGCTTGAATTATCACCATTAGAATGACTATATTTAAAATAAATAAATAAATAAATATAAAAGATAATGTGAATTGAGATATTATATTTAGAATTAAAATAAAAATTAAATAAAATCTTAAATTAAGGGCGTGCGATAATATATGCAGATCCCATAAATTATGATGAAACGAGATTGAAGATAAAATTGAGGAAGAAGAGCTTGGAGGGGAAGCAATATGTAGAGTGGGGCCAGAGATTAATAGGGTGTGAAGACCATAGCAAAAGGAGGGGGGAAATTATTAGATATGTTGCTGCCGCGTCATTCAAATTCCCCTATTAAAATAATCACAAAATATTTTACTAAATAAAAGAATTAATAATGATATGTTTAGGGAAAAGGAGTATAAATATAGCAATGAGATTATGAATGATCCAAAAATATGTTGTCATCAGCGTGACGACACGTAGACGCAATGGGAATGCCTCCGAAAAAGCAGAGAGCCACACCCCCCCGTCCCCCCCAATAAAGTTTCCGCGTAGACAGGTGGATGGGATTGCCGTTCCACTCTACATTTCCCCCCACACTATTATTATTATTATTATTATTACTATTACTGCTACTACCACCATCACTATTATTATTATTTCTTTTCTCTACTTCACAATTCATCCATTATATTACTTCCGATCATAATATAAAAAATAATTAGAAATTTAATTTAATCATACATTTCAAATATTAATTCACTTTGTTTTGGATATTTATGTGTTTTTTCCCAATAATTTGACTATTGAGTTTTTATTGATAGGCAGTGTCAATAAATATAATTAATAAGAATATTTTAAGAAAAATAATATCAATTTATTATAAATGACAAATTTGAATAATTTTTTAATGTCGACAAATCATTTATCAAGCTCTTATATATTTATATATATTATACAAATGAAACTTATTGATTAAAATTAACTCCAATTTATATAGATAGTCATTATATAACATTTATGTAAAAAATTGCAGCGTTTATAATATGTCATGAACTCTAAAATTCACGTTCAATTCTATGTGAAACATGGCCCTCAATTTACTTATTTATAGCTAGTGTGAATATTCTAATTCTAAATTCAACTTTTAGCCATTTATTTTAAATTGATACGGGTCATCATTATATCTTGTTACTATTTTCTTGAAATTTTTATTTTATTAGTAAATGTATTTTATTTTGTTAATAGGTCCCATATATAATTATGCAACATACTTCAGTGCAATGCATTGTTATAAGCATATAGCGTGAGAAATAAAATAAGTCATAATATTCATAGCATTTTTTTTCTGTCATCATCACTCACACATTCACTTAACAATTTCACACTTAAAAGGGTCTCAAGAAAAATGTTTAGTGTCATAGTATGATAGCAGAGAATCTTTATATTACTATATATAAATATATTTATATAAGTATATTTTTTGACCTAACTGAATGAGGAAGGTTAATTGTTTTAAGAATTCACAATACAATGAACCAAAACTGAATGATGTGAAGGCTTTTGAAATTAATGGTCATAAAAAGGAAAAAAGGTTGAATTTTTTCCCCTTTTTGAAATTAAATAAGGTGGAATGAAATGGAATTATAATAATAATTGTAATAGAGAAATCTCTCTTGAATTTGACCCCTAAGCAAAAAAAAAAAAAAAGAACTATGTCATCCTCCTGTTGTTTTCTTCTTTACACGATCCACACCTGCCGGTTCACACTTCTCTCTCTCTCATCAATCCCTTCCTTATTCCTCATCATATATATCTCTCCCTCTCTTTCTCTCTCTTCTCCAACCTCCCCAGAACAAACAAAAACCCTCACAAATTCAAACATTCTCTCCCTGCTCCTCTCGTAATACCCAAATCAACAATCACTCGCTACACTTTTCTCGATTCGATCAATATTACTGAATGGATCAGATTCATCTTCATCATCATCATCTTCATCCCCAGCATCAGCAGCAGCAACATCATCATCATCATCTTCCTCCTCAGCCTCTTGGTATTACCATGAACGTCGATGTGGGTAGTGGCGTCGTCGTCGACAGGTTGCCTCAGTGGAGCGTCCAAGAGACGAAGGAGTTTCTGGCGATTCGAGCAGAGCTGGATCAGAATTTCATGGAGACCAAGAGGAACAAGCAGCTATGGCAACTCATCTCTAACACCATGAGCGACAAGGGTTACCTTCGAAGCCCAGAACAGTGCAAGTGCAAGTGGAAAAACCTCGTCACCAGGTACAAGGTACCAGCCACCTCCTCCTCCTCGTCCTTGTCCCTACTTGATCCCTATCTGTCCCTCTAATAATCAAATCCCAATGAAATCTCTGTTTTCTCTTTCTTTTACAAAGCTGCGATTCACATGATGGCGCTTTACAAAACAGGATCGTACTGTGTCCGATATGTTTGTGTGATGTCGGCATGACGTTGTCCGGTATTTATATAAACATGCTTGGTTCTTGAAGGATATGTGTTTGTGAAAAGTTCTAGCTCGTATGTAGCTTTTACCTTTCATGGGTTTTCTCCTAACTAACTTGTTTGGTGCTTCGGTAACATTGAATAATATATACTAATTATATACGATGTAACATTTTAAATTTCAACTAAATTCTGCATATGTACTTCGTAGTTAATTGTCCCTACTTACAAGATTATTGCAGTGTAATCGTTTATAACCTAGATCATATAATTCGTATTCTTAATGCTAGCTGGCTAATATCTCAAGTTTTGCAACTAATCATTGTGTGTGTGATTTTTATATGTAGTAACCATGGCATTAACGAGTTGCCATGAAGGATTCATTGATGTCTTGAGATCAAAATCACACACACACACATATAATTCTTTTGATCATTCTCAAGTAGGACATGACCCACTATATCTGCCATTAAGACATACTTCTCTGGTCCTGTCTATGGCACACAGAGAAAATGTATTTTTTGTTCTATTTCATAGGGTACTAAGAGAAATTTTTTATATGGATGTACAATTTCACCATTTATTTATTATTATGTTGACTTTATTTATACAAGGTATAATGTATATTAATTAAATAGGGATAAAGTTACAAAGTCATTAAATTTTAAATAAAAGTTAATGAAATTTAAGTTTTTTTTGTCTGTGTAAAACATATTGGAAGTGCTTTATAAATAGGACTAAAGGAGTATATCTTAGTTGATCTAGTCACAACTTTAACCTTCATTGAAAAGTTGTCTTATGGTTTAATGGTACGGAGTGAAAAAAACATTGTGTATATAGAATACATTTTTCTCCATATTTTACAAACATTTCATAATAACAGAAAACTACATCATTAGCTAGATAGATGTTGCTAGATTTGATCTTTCAGATTCACGTTATTATTAGCTATAAATTAGACCAGTTTGGGTTGGGATAGAGTTCAAAAGCTCTTATAAGCATATTTTACGTAAATCGAGATAAATTCTTCTTGTATACTTATTATGAATTCCATAATCACGATTAAAAAATTACTTATAACATATTTTATATGAGCCCATTATAGTTTGTTAGAACCATATCTATCCAAACCACTAATAACATAAAAGTTCACTGAAATATTCGAAAATCACGGTTAAAACTTGGAAGGAAACTATTACCAGAACTGGTTTGTTTTAGTGTTAGTAATGTTGCCAGATTTGCTACTTTTCTCTTATGCGTTTTGTACTGGCTTTTATGAAACGGAAGGGATGTGAAACAGCGGAGCCAGAAATTGTGAGGCAGCAATTCCCATTTTACAACGAGCTTCAGGCGATTTTCACGGCGAGGATGCAGAGAATGCTGTTGGTGGAGGCGGAAGGCGGAGGAGGGAAGAAGAAGACGGCGAACGCGTCGTCGGAAGACGAGGACGAGAACGAAGAGATGAGCACAGGTCAGCTGGGAGAGAGAAGCTCGAGGAAGAAGAAGATGAAAAGGAGCAAAAGTTACAGCGAGAATTACAGCAGTAGTAACAAGCTGAAGGAGATTCTGGAAGAGTTCATGAGACAACAGATACAGATAGAGTCACAGTGGATGGAAGCCTTTGAAGCGAGAGATAAAGAGAGGAAGATGAAGGAGATGGAATGGAGGCAGGCCATGGAAGCTCTGGAGAATGAGAGGATGGTGATGGAGCAGAGATGGAGAGAGAAGGAAGAAGAGAGAAGGATTAGAGAAGAAGCTAGGGCTGAAAGAAGAGACGCTTTAATCACAGCTCTTCTTAACAAGCTCACAAGACCACAAATGTAGTTAGTTAATTAATTATATTTATATTTTGCAGGATTAATTAGTTGTAGTTATAGATTAATTATATAGTTAATTATATTCTAGAACCCTCCTTTATTCTTGAAATATCTATCTAAGCTTCCTTCATTAGCTAATCAATTTTTTCTTTGATGTCCCTTCATTATTATGCTGTCTTGCTCAATCCAGCAATTTTATTAGCACAAGCAAACTTAGGGATAAGCTTTAATTTAATTTTCCAGCAGAAAAATAAAAACAGGGATAAGCTTTAATCCCCCCTTTTTTTTGTTTGGAGTTATTATTAATAATTGTAATTAATTAGATAGTCCTCCTTTGAAGGACAGAAGCAATTTAAAAAAAAAAATGTTACGCAGCATTGATTTTATTTATCATTAAATAACTCATTCTTTTGTATCATTTATATTAAAATAATAGCAGAAATGCGTTGTCCCATATTAATTAATGCACTTTGGTTTAGTTTTATTCAATTAAATTTGATTTGTATGGATGGAACCACATGGGGTTATAATTTTATGGCGGAATCAATGATTGAAAGAGATGAGATATATATGGAAGAAATATGAAATAAGCGGACCTGCATCATTATTGAAGGGATCTTTCACATGGAAGGTTACGTTTTTGCGAAAATAAAAATAGATAAATATAGTAGTTTGTGTTGTGAAACATATATATTTGATTATATTGTAAATACTATATGAAGTGTTTCTACCTGATAATATACACACGCTACATGAGGTGTGTGGGTCACATTCATATACACTATATATTTCTTTTTTTTTATGTTTCACGTGATAGTTTTCCCGTGATCTTTTCTCACAAGAATCCAAATTCGGAATATGAAATATATTCTCAATGAATTAATAAAATACTACCTCATATTTTTAATATAAGAGTTAGTTGACTAATTTAAGTCGATTGAAGAAGCTAATTAAGTTAATTATTTGTAATAAATAGGTGATGTCTTTTCTCAAATATCCTTGCTAATTAATTGTATTGGCTAGAACTATTATCATTATAAGGACTATCTTAGGGGGAAAAATGAATAAATATAAGAAACAAAATAAATTAGAGGTTTTATATTTAAGATCAAAATAAAAGTTAAATAAGTTTTTATATTAAGGACTGAAGGTAGTATATAATAAGTGTTTAAAATATACCTCATGCCAAATGATTTTAATTAATTTCTTGGCCAATGTGTATCCTATAAGTAAATGACATTATTATTCATTTTCATGTAATGTAACTAATGAAATGTGATACAAACTAAATTTTATATTAAGAATCAAAAGTAGTAGTATATTTAATTTAATATAGGGTTAAGGTGTAAATTGGTCCTGAAAATTTTGACCATAGAACTCTGTGTATTTGAAAGTTTTTTTGAAAACAAATTTGCTCTAAAAGTTTAAAATCATAACAATATTGTCTCGTATCATAAAAAAGCTACGTTGATTGTTAAACTAGTGACATTGATTGTTAACATTTTTAATAATACGGGATAATATTGTTACGATTTTAAGCCTTTAGAACAAATATGCTCCCAAAAAGATTTCTAGATACCTGATGCTATTGAGTAAAAGCTTTCGGGACAAATTTGCTTCTTAACCTTTGAATATATAATAGATTAAAGTGTAATCAAGTAACAAATATATAATAAATTAACCTGAATATCAAATCATATATATATATATATGCTTGTATTATAAATCAATTGTTGAAATATTTTTTTTATTAATAAAATATTGGTGTTATTGACACATTTAGTTTTTTCTCTTGGGGAGATATTAAGTTTTTATAAAATATGATGAAAAATACTCTTTCGATCCTAAACATAAGACTCATTTTATAATATAATTTATACTATAAAATATTTCTTGCATTTACAATGTGAGGAGTACAAATATAAACGGTTCTACCCACACCTGGACAATTTCTTGAGAAAAGTCAGAAGTTTGAAATTTTTTTTTCTCATTATTAATTAATATTTCATAACCTGGCACTATCAAATCACAATTATGAATTTTATCATGCAACTCTTTGATTTGATCATGGAGGGAATGGTATGGACAAAGAGTTGCTTCTGGTAGTAGGTGCAGATACACACACAGAGAAAATGATGGAAAAGAGCAGAATTAATTAAGTTAATTAATACTAATTACCTAACACTTAAGAAGATAATGCTCATCATCATCATAATGTCTATTCCATTCAGAAGCAACGTTTTGAGGTTGATGGACCATTTGCTTCAATCATCGCTTTACCGAAAGTGCTTCCACTTCCACTTTTATTTTTATTACACAACCAACAGAAAATCAAATAAATATACATATAAATTTCTTTTCTCTGTTTCAAAGATTGGATTCAACCTTAAAAAGAAAGAATTAACACACCAGTGGGACCGATAAATCAGTAAATCAAACCCTATTTTAATTCAAAAATATTAGATATCGCATGTCATCTAGCTTCTTTAAAAATACATTATGGAAAGAAAAACTCAATTAATGAACTTGTAATTATTTGAACATTTTGAAGGAAAAAATTACATTGAAAAGTTGGCCGAAAAACATAACCAGTTTTTTTCCAATACACAAAAAAGAAGAAGAGTAAATTAATCATTCACTTGAATCTGTCATTGATAAATTAAAAAAAAAGGGTAAATTAAGGAAGAATCAGTCATTGATAAATAATCTGAAGCTTGGATTCAGATCTGACATGGATTAATGAAAACCTAAGTCTGGTTATGTGAATCCACTACATGAGGAGTCATTTCATGAACAAGTGCAAAACATTCTTTTATTACTTCTGTTCACAATGAACTCTAAATTCATATATAGCATCCTTTAGGAATATAATATTAAATTTATGAGTTATGGCTGTGAATTATATATTTTTAATACTGAGGACTTGAAATTGTCAACAAGAATAGTAAGATACTGAGATTCTACAAATTATTTATTGGCATGATTCCGTAATAATTTTTTCTTTAAACGACAAAATACTTTGTCGGTGAGCATATGAACACTAATTTAATTATCACATAGGGCGACTATATATCGTCCAAAACATATCTGGCAAGTAAGTTTATTTTCCGTTTTTCTTTACTTATTTTTTTTTCCAAAAAAAAAAGTGGCCAGTAGTGAGCAAGTTGAGAGAAGGCATCATTGACCATCATTATTGATTTATTGTATTATCAAGTACTACCTCCGATCCTTAATATAAGATTTTGTTTGACTTTTATTTTGGTCCTAAATATAATATCTTAATTCACTTTGTCTCTCATATTTATAAATTTTTTTCACAAGTAGTCCTTCTAAGAATAGTAATTCTAGCCAATACACTTGATTAACAAAGATATTTTAGGAAAAACGATACCTATTTATTGCAAATAACTAACTCAACATATTTTCTTAATCTCCTCAAATTAGTCAACTAACTCTTATAATTAGGACCGGAGGTAGTATATGATTTGATATTATGAGTTCAAATAAAAAAAAATAGTTGATGATTTTTTTTAAAATTTTGTTGGTCTCATAAAAAGAATACATGATTGGGCTAAAATGATGTTAATAAAGAATAGTGTTGAATGAAGACAATTATGTGGACCATTATGTTTCCCTTTTATTAAAGAGGAAATTAAGTTAAAAAGGACGGTTTGTATAGTACGGGATAGGGACAAAGTTGATCCAACGACCTACAACTGTCATAATTCTTACTATACTTTTTGATTAAATTACAATAATGACACGACAATATTAATTATAACCATAATATTCAAGGATTTAAATAACTATATGTGAGAATTTTAATATAGCTAGTGTGATGTTATTGGATTAGATACCATGGCAATGAAGATTGATTTATTTAGTCAAAACCAACATCATACCCCTAAGAGGAGCTTTATGTCTTCTCACGTTGTTGTAATACAGTATATATGGTTCTAGATATAAGATTTATTTTATAGTACATGAAGTGCAATTTGTATTATAAAAGTAGATATTATATTTAAAATTAGAGATACTATTATGTGGTGATTTTTTCTCAAATGATAAGTGTCTTAGGAATTGGTTGATAAAAACTGAGTTACTTTAATATACAAATAGGGTGATGTTGTGATATAGACAGAGATCAGAGAAAACAATAAAATCATTATTGAGTTAAGATCTTTAAATATTTTGAAAGTATTTACGAAGAAACACCCAACACTTGAAAGTTTTTTTTGCTCTAATATACCAAAAAAGTTTTATCTTATAGCATTTCTGTCCTTAACTATCAAGTTTGACCGTTAAAAATACAGGTCAAACCATATAATTTAATAATAAAACTCAACGATGGATAATGATCAGAATATATATTTGTTACGAAAACAAATTTTTAGGATGTATAAAAGTTTTTTAAAAAAAATTCAAATACTAGATGTTCTTTTGTGAATATTTCCAAGGTATTTAAACACCTTGACTCATCATTCTTTTATGAAAGATTTCATTTTTCCATTAAAAATATGTCAAGCATGGTCATAGGTACGGTGGTGGGCAGGAAAAATGAAATTGTTCTCCTTCTGTATGATTTCACTTTTTGCATTAAAAAAAAAGTTTCATAACCTGAAATTGTTTTTAGACTGAATGACTTTCTTATAAATTTGAACTCGTTTGCCAGGTGAACAATTTCTACTATAGTAATTGGTAATTTTGTTCATTGTTTATAGTATTTTGGTTTTTTTTTTTAAAAAAAAAAGCTTCAAACAGTTCACAGACCCGTTTTCCCATCTACCATGATCCGACCCGATACTCTTTGACCTGGGGAACAGAATGAAAGGAACAGGAGAGAGGTTGAAGCGGAACAGGATAACAGGCAAAGCAACACTGTGGATGATTGATAATAGCAATAATTGATAATTTGATTTTTGTGTGGGATTTGCCTGCTGCTAATTAATAATTATTTATTATTATAAATTCGTGAAAATAAAATAAAGTGATCAACTTTTTAAAGCCATATTTTTTTTTGGGGTCAAAATTGGGCCAAACGTAACCCTAAAAATGCTGTTTCGCCTAGGCTTAATCAAGCACTGGACCTCTAATCTTTGACCAAGTCGAAAACACCAATGGCCAAGCCTAGCTTATGAATAGGATAGCCCTGCCCTATCAACCTTCAAATCTAAAGCTGCAAATGTTTGGGTTTTGATGGATCTGATACACCCACAAAAAGTCTATTAAAATTATGAAATAATTCTTAAAATACTTCATCTTCATCTTCTATTCATTATAATTGAAGGAGTATCTATAGAGATAATTTAAAAAAAAATTAATAAATATAAAAAATGAGTTTTATATTTAAGATCAAAACTATCTCAATAATTGAATCTTATACTAAGGACCGGAGAAGTATTTCATATATAATTATATTCGAATCTTTAAAAATCAAAATTTTATGTATTTTTATTGATATGATTGGCCTATAATAGAATTCAACACAGGGATAATTGTATTTGAGTTTATAATGTGACATTAGTGTGAACACATTTAAGCCAACCCACAAAACCATACAGGAATGCTATAAGATCAGAGTGCCTGGTGATGCTAGGAAGGGCCCCGGCTATTCATTGAATGAAACTAGTAGGGTGTGTTTTTTGAGAGTGTGAACATCATCTTCCTCCTCCGGATTCAATTCATGAAGCCTTTTTCTGGGAATTCTTTTCCCACTTGCTTCCTCTCATCATTTATCTGCTTTCATTTCCTGTTTTTGACAACCTCTAGTACGTATTAGCATACAACGGCCTCCTGCCAGTCAAAGTTCTCTGTGGGTAACCCTCCCTATGAATATCGGCCTCTTAATAAAAATGCCAATATGATGAGTACAAGCCTAAAAGAAAAATCTAATATATTAGGAGGGAGAACCCGTTATACTTATAAATCTCACAACATTTGTGAGATTTTCTAATTTATACTCTTGTGGTCCTATTTATAAGACACTTCCAGCATATTTCACATAGATCAAGAAAAATTTTAAACTTCATTAACTCTCATTTAAGATTTAATGACTTTCCAACTTTATCCCTATTTAATATACATTATACCTCATATAAATAAAGTTAACACAATAATAAATGAGAAGTAAAATTGTACATCCATACAAAAACTTTCTTTTAGTACCCTATAAATAACACAAAAAAACACCTTTTCTTTCTTTCTGCTATATAAATAGAAATAGGGCAAGAGGAGTAACTCATAACTTGGTATTTCTCGTTTGATCTGCGAGCTGAGAAATCATGTTGGAACTTGAAACTGAAACCTGGACCCTATACCTACCTATACGAAGCCAACACAAACTTGATTGCACTAGTTTATCAAAATCATTCAACAGTTTGAGCTACTATTTTAATTGGCCCAAAAAAAAAAAAACAACCACGTGGGAACTCGAAGCTAAACTTTGACCCCATATACGTGAAACCTACACAGTTGAAGTTTGTCGATCAAATTCATTCAAGAGTTTTAGCTGTTTGTTTTTTTTTTTAATTGAACAAAACTACCGTAACTTCTCCTCCTCCTTATTTATCATTGTTTGTAAGGAAATTTTAATAAATTCAGTGACAAAGACTCATTAAGGCTAGAAAGGATCTTGAAAGAGAGCTTATAAATCAGTTGTCAACAGCATACATAACTCATTTCCACCTTTTTCCCCTTATCTGTAGTCTTTCTTTTATCCAAGGTCATTTTATTTAAGGCACGATTTGACATTAGATGCGACCACCTTTTCTAATAAGAATTCAAATCTCAGTTGTTTGTTAGACCTAATTAATTTCCATATAGAAACATCTCATGGGTTGGCCTACAACATGTACATATGGAAGGGGAAATATAGTAAAACTACCTAGTTATAATATACATGCGTAAGGTCATGAAGACAAAAATTGTGGTAATCAGTGTGTTAAAAGTTCATGGACGACCTCACGCAGCAAGAGGTCGAAGATTTTATGCTCAAGAAGCAAAGGGATTTCCTCAAAACAATCACTCCCAAACACGCCCTTCTTCCGCCCGACACAATCAAACATTTGCACATCGTTTTCTGTTAATTTGAGAATTTTGGCCATTAATTCTGAGCATTCCTCTGTTTCACTTTTATGGTTGCTTTTGCCTCCAGACAAACATCTCTCAGCTGAAGATTCTCTCTTTGACTTTGAGGCGATTCCCTTTGTTTCATCTGCAAAAAGTTTGAGATAAGCCCTCCAGATTAGCCATAAAACCACATGGTTCACGTCATGTTGTTGGTTTTAACTAGTTCACTCTACTATTAAATTACACTATGAAAAGACTGCTAAAAATTTTCTCTTTAAGTTTTCACTGTCAAAAGATACTTGAACTCAATTAGTTGAAAGACTTAAGTGTAACCCATTTTTAGTGAAATTCATTTTTATAAGTTGTATGTAATGCATCTTTAATTCTGTGCAAATCATCACATAATATGTTGCATATAGTTGAAGAAAAATTATATCTGTAAAATAAGTTACACCCACTCAATTCAAATCATTTTAAGCAAAAAAAAAAAAGTCCAAAATAGCGAGGGACTTTCCAGCAATTTTTCTTACATTATTTGATATTTAATTACACAACTTTTCCTTCATTACATGCAAAATATTTTTTGTAAAACGAATTTTGTTAAACTTAGGCATAACTCATTTTTATAATTAACGTGGAAAGTGATGGCTGAAACTGATTTTACTTATCAAGGGCCACATTATGAACTTTTAATTTATATAAATAATAATTATTCTACGCAATTCTCTATTTTTTTTCCCTTGTTGGAAATTCAGAGATCAAACCTGTGAAGTTGGTTTTGCTCTGCAATGGAAATTCTTCGTCGTCGCCAACGTCTAAAACTGAAACAGGGCTGAGATCTTCAAAGCAACTCTCATTCTGCATCTTCTTCGGCGACTTCCTGCTTCTGACCTTCTTTCTGAATCTGGGTTCATCCACAAACTCCTCCTTCCTCATTCTTGGACTCAAGCTACCAGACCCATAATCTCTGCTTGCACTTGTCGAAACAGAGACTTTTCTTCTAGGCTCATTCTTCAGCTTCGAAATCTTCTTCTTCTTCTTCTTCGTCCCCATTATTCTTCTCCTTCCTCTGTTTCTTCGATTCTTGCAAACCCACCTCCTGTTTCTTCGACCTGTGCCGAACAACTTCACCGGGCCTCGATTCGCGAGCAGCCATGTCAACATCGTCCCACAAGAAAACGACAACGTCGTCGTCCTTCTCCGGCTGCAACGACAGCGACGTCGCGGGAGACGACGACAACACAGGAACCTCACGAAACGACGACGTTCTGACGCGACGATGGCTGCCTTCTTGCTCTTGGTGGGCGGGATCAAACCGGAGCAAGTAATCGATGAAGTTAACGGACTTGCTTCGGGGAACCGAGTCGGGCGCGACCCGGATGGAGACCCGGGGGTTGTTTGGGAGCGAGTCTAAGCCCATGAGCCTGGCGACTAGACCAGGGGTAGGAGGAACGGGACTAGACTTGTCTGGGAGGGAAGGCAGTGTTTGGGGAGGAGGGAGGTGATCGGAGGGGTGGATAGGAGGAGCATTGGTGGAGTGAGCACAGAGAAGGAGGCGAAAGAAGCGAGAGAAGCATCCTGATTTTGCTGCTGCTTCTTGTTCAGCCATATTTCCAATCTTCCAAACGCAGCCTTGAGTAAATCCGGAGGAACCAAGAAGAACGGAACTGGTACTTGGTGAAGCCCGGAGGAGTAAATGAGTTGAGAATGAAACTTAACTGCTTATTAAGAGAAGGATCTCTGCCTCCGCCTCCTGTGTAAATTACATCTAAGGACACTTTTCTCAACAAAAATTAGGCCATCATGGAAAATTAGCGGGTGTTTGGATTAGCCTTTTTTTTCAAGGGGTCATAGAGTTTTCCAAGCACCAATGATGCTGTGTTCTCCGGGGCTAGAATAAATGGGATATTAAATCTAGGAAAAATAAATTTTTTCATCCTTTAAGTTTTGATTTACTTATAACTCTCAGCCATGATTTGGTATAATTCAGTCCTTCAACCTTTAATCATTTGAAAAATTCATTTGAAACTCAGCTCTTAAATTTTTTTTCATTTAATAATTTATATATGATTCTTCTTGAACGAGTTTCAAATGAGTTAACAAGTTGAAGCATCAAGTTACATCAAGTTATAATTGAAAAACTGAGTCATAAATGAATCAAAAATTTAAAAAGTAAAATACTCCTCCGGTCCTTATTATAAGATTCAATTTGACTTTTTATTTGGTCCTAATTATAAGACCCAATCCATTTGTCTCTTATAGATAATCCTTCTAATAATGATAGTTTTAGCTAATATACTTAATTAGCAAGGATATTTTAGGAATGACAACACTTATTTATTATAAATAACCAACTTAACTGACTTCCTTAATCTCCTCAAATAAGTCAATTGGGTCTTATAATTAGGACCGGAGGAGTATTAATTTTTTCCTTAAATCTATATAAGCATCA